CAAAATAATATAATTTTTTTTATAGTTTTTTATTGTCAAACTTAGTTAATAAATTATTTGTTGTACTATAATTAATTGTGAAATTATTTTATTTTATTTTTTCATATAAATTATTTGTTGCATTATAATTAATTGTGAAATTGTTTTATTTTATTTTTTCATATGAAACGGTATGGGTCGGGTAAAACCCGTTTACCCGACGAAAACCCACTAACTCGTCGGGTAAAACCCAACCCGAACCCGAAGATAACTAGTCGGGTAACGGGTCGGGTTCGGGTTTGTCAAAAAAACGTACCCGACCCACCCCATTTACATCCCTAACAAGACGGCTCCCCATATGTTGTGTACAACTCCTTTTGGTAATTGTCGGGGTGTCCACGAGACGAGCTTCCGGCATAGGAATAATCATACGGGTCCATCGGAGCTCCTCAAGTGAAGTACCTCACACAAGAAAAACAACAAACCAATGGCACACGAGACCAAGACAAAAATAATGCAAATGCACGACACAATATTTACAAAAACACAAACACCAAATAGCAAGAGAAATCGAAAACAAGCAAATAAGAAAGAGAAACACACGAAATTAAGCAATGATCACAAAAAGCAAGAGAAATACGAAAAATACATCAATCAATTGTCTAAATCCAATGGCCTACTCGCCTTCCCGGCAACGGCGCCATTTGTTTTGTAGTATTTTTGGGTAGTTGGTAATCGAGTTACCCGAACTTGGGTCGTTCTCAAATGAAGGCTATTCGGACACGGATTCAAGCAATGATCGACGCACACAAGAAGAGAAAAAATAAAAATCCTAAACACTTTACTCGCAATTTGGGGGTTTGGATTAAGCTAAGAACGCAATTTAAGCTAAGACGAAAGCAAAATTTGAAATTTATCGCAAGCAAGACCTCAATTTACAAGAAAAGGAAAATAGAGAGAAAAATAACAAGGTACCCCTAGACCCGAGATGGAAGGAAGGAATCATGGGTTCGGGAACATGCAATCAAGCAATCATCACCCGTGATCAATCAATCGATCTCTCAATCAATTATCGCTCATGAAATCAATAACAATATCATATAATCCCTAGCCTACGAGGATGATAGCATAATCGACTCATGGAGGTGCCCATCTAACCCTAGAATAAATCCAATAAGTAAAGACAAGCAAGGCTTACGAAATCATGGATCTTAAACGAAGTCTCCAAGTCTCTAGTGCATCCACGAGAAGAAATAAGCCAAAAAGTGGTAATCATGAAGGAGAAATATTATAATAAAAATAGGGTCTTGGAGCCCTTAGAGAGAGAAAGAAAACTAGAGAGAGAAAAGAGCAAAAAAGCTAAAAAGAAAAATTTAGCAAATGAAGAATTCTTCCAAAAATACAAAACAATATGTCTATTTATAGCTACACCACAAACATACACTAAAAATACACATTTAATAATTTAGCACTCGCTAGGTAGCGAACTAGTTCGCTAGGCGAACTGGGCTTGTGGTCTTGTACACACTCGCTAGGCGGCGAACGCGTTCGCTATGCGGACTGGTCTTGTGAGTCTTGTGCACACTCGCTAGGTGGCGAACACATTCGCTAGGCGGATTGGACTCTCGGATCTCGTGCACGGTAATGACTCAACAACGGCTCGGGGGTTTTTTGGAAATGCTCGTGCTCTCGGAACTTGGCTCGATTCTTCTCTTTCATACTCCAAAATGAACCTAAAAATTGCACCAAAGACAAGAAAAAATATGCCAAAAATATAAACACCAAAGAGAAAATGACAACACATGGAATCAACTAAAATGGACCGGTTAGACAAGAAAACAAACCTAAAGCCGACTCAACTACACATATAAAACACATAAAAAGAAGCATAAAAACACAATAAACAACGACTTTAAAGGAGATGACCCTCGTCGTCCCTTTCAAGCTCGGGGGCCTTATGATAATAGATGCCAAATCGGTACCAGACCTCCAAAACATATATGATCAGAATCATTCTACTCACAAGAAAAGTATAATATTTAACAATTTAGCGTAGTTTTATGGGCGAATATAAGATATTGAATGGATGAAATATATAATATAAGAATTAACAAAAGTAAAGGTATGCATGATTTCGTGGAAGTTTGCACTTGACAGACACCAGAATTCTCCCAAAGTCCACCAGTCTGTTGTCGACAGCCACATTCTCTTCAAATTTGTGGATGTTTGTACTTGAGAATAAAACCGAGATGGAAGACTTGGGATTGTCTGATAAAACTATTGTTGCTGACAAGAGTGTGGTCGAGCATGAAGAGGACATCGACATATTTAAGTTCTCTCAATTAATACTCTCGGCCGATGAGCATCATCAAAACCGCCTTCGTGGGAAGCAAATCGATCTTGATTTATCCTTCTCGAAGGATGCTGATATTTTTCATCCACAATACAGTTGCAATTCCCTGGTACTCGCATGTATAGATGGTGAGTTGGAGTCTGCTCTTTGGAATCCGACGATCAATGATATTTTATCTTTTATTAGGATTATTTTCCCTTACTGTGGCGTGGAGCTCTTAGGTTTCCAAGCCGTAACCACGACCTATCGGTCTGTTTGTTACGACTTAGTTGAGGTCAAACCTAGTCTTCTCCTGACCTTAGGTCTTATGATCTCAACCCTTGAGGTGATTTCTTATCCGAGCTCCCAGAGGTTTATGCATTCACGTCGTCTTTTTTCAGGTCGGCTAGTACCCTGTGCTCGAATACGAGCTCCTTAACTGGGTTACTTACTTCTGAACAGGCTGGAGCTCTCCTGGACCAGCCTACCCGAGTTGACTGCTCAAGCTGGTCTACCGAGCTATTCTGAGTGTTACATCAAAACTCTCGGTCTATTACTCTCCTACGGTATAAATTTTCCAATTGTAGCTATCAATTTTCTTCTTTCACTCTCAAATCGATACAAAGTATGCATTCATAGCATTGGTATACTCACACAATAAAAATAAACACAAGAATTCATAAACAAGAGATAAACCATAATGAAAACAATAAAAAACTTGATCATAAATCAATCTGAATACACACAAATCTAGAATTTTAAATAAATTTAGCCTAAAAACATGCTTGTAAAATTAGTAAAATGAATATAAACATTGAGTTCGAAAGATAAAAGAAAAGGCTTATTCGGCTTCGTCGATCTCTCCTTCCCGACTTTCTTCCTCGTCTCATATATGTTCATAGCCTTCAAACTCTCTAAAACTCAGAAAAACCTCACCAAAAATGTGCTCTAGTGTTCCTTTTATAGTTGGCATCGAGTTCTAGCCAAATTAAGTGGAAAAACTCGTAAAAGATAGAAAAAACGCGTCAAACGTGTGCAAGTTACGCGCCTAGACCCACACGACTCGTGTGAAAAAATCTAGAGCTCGTTTCAGAACCCTTCGGCTTGGCACGACTCGTGTCATAAACACACGAGTCACACGACTCGTGTGTGACTGGAACTCTATTTTCGAGCGGCAGGATGTTTGTGGTCATTTTCTGGCCACTCTTGTGATCAAGACGGTGACAGATATGGACTGTCCGATGCATGCAACTCCTATTGCTCCACAAACATTTTCAGGCAACAACATTGTTGTGCTCTGTTGTTCGTAGTACAATTGTTGACTTTATGGCGTAGTCGATCGAGACCTCCGACTTCATAAAAGCGGCAAGACGACTGAGCAGCGGCGGGGCAACTCTTCGATGACACACAACACTTCCATGGCAGCTTCTCACATTGTGTTGTTACGAAGAAAAAGACTTCTTCTTTTCCAGTGAAGTGACAGTTGTGCCCCCCAACTTAAATGTCCTGTGGGTTGACCCATTGTGTGCTTATTATTGTTCTTCTTGGGCCAACCGAGCAAGCACTATGCAACCATTAATGCATATTTGCTTTGTGTTGGGCTCCTCCCAATGCACGATCGCAGCTGTTTTAAACTCCAATAATTATTCCAACCGAGATTTCTATTAAAACTGAAAATAAAAACATCAGTCATAGCTTAATAACATTAGTTAAATAAATAGTAATATACATATCAAACTCTGTCAATACTAGTTCGAAAGTCACTATCAAGTGCACGTAAAAATGACGTATGCCATTTATGAAAAAAATATTTATACAAATATAAATTATAACTTCTGATTATTATTTTGTAGAGTATAATACTTCAATTTAAAAATGTGCATATTTATTAAAAAATATGATCGGATGAATACGGTTCGAAAGTGGCAATATGACAATTTTTTTACAAAATAATAGAGGTAATATACCGAGTATGACATATTTTAATTCTGACCCCCACTAATTCTCGAAGAAAAAAACGTTATTTTTATTCCACATACAAAAAATTTCAAAAAAAAATCTATAAACAGCTTAGTCACCTGCTCCGTCGCGTCTCGTCGTCTCCATTTATCACACGAGAGGATACCAAAGAGCCATCTCTCTCTCTCTCTCTCTCTCTCTCTAAGTCTTTATAATCACAGAACAGAGGCTAACTTAACCTCAACGCCATAGTTACTGACCCATTGCCTGTGAGAAAAGTTTTAATCCCCGCTTTATATCTATCGTTTTTTCTCCATAGCGATTTTAAATAAAATTATATCAATCATAAAGACGGGGGATTTTGGAAAATAATAATATAAGTGTATGAAAACGGGAATATAAGTGTAAAAAGGGCATTTGATTCATCTGCTTCACAGCTGTAATTCCTCTCAGATCTTGAATTGGATGCATTTTTTCATCTGGGTTTTTTTTTTTTGGTGATATATAAGCTGGCAATTTTTTTTTTTTATGTTTTTGGTGATTTATTGTTGTCCTGTTGCTTGTTTCAAGTCAAAGATCGAATCTTTATTGATTTTGCAGGTTTTTTCTGGTTTTTTTGGCGACCGTTGATCTTTTTTTCTTACAATCCGTTGAACAGATAGTGTCTTGTTAAAGTCCCCATTTGTTCAGGTATTGTTTCCTTTTTACTCAATCTGCATTAGATCGGATTCTTTCTTTCTTGGTTGATACTAAAGTTGAGGTAATTTACTCGAAATAAAGAAAGTTTAAACTGAAAATTGCTTAGTACTCTAGTGATCCAGCCTTACTTGCTAATAGATCCGCTGCTCTTTACTTGTAATAGCTTGTCTCATAGCGGAGTTGATGAAAATGAAGTTCTGAAGAATTTTTTCAGCATAAATTAGTCGATTAAATGTCGAATAACATATTTATTAACTGCAAATTAAATCGGTTGAATCGCAATCATGTCTGCAGTTGGGAGTGGAAATGGAAGTGGGGAAGTTGTTCATTGGTGGGATTTGTTGGGAGACAAACGAGGAGCGTCTAAGGGAACATTTCGAAGCTTTCGGTGAAGTTTTAGAAGCTGTGATTATGAGGGATCGGGTGACAGGCCGAGCTCGAGGTTTTGGATTTGTGGTCTTTTCTGATTCATCTGTTGCTGAAAGAGTTGTTCGGGAAAAGCATGTGATTGATGGAAGAACTGTAAGTCGTGCGCCTGTTTATTTACTGATCAGTCTTTTTTATGCCCCAATTCTTTTGCTAATTTGTGTGTTGGGGTTCAGTCTTTTTATGCCCCAATTCTTTTGCTAATTTGTAAGTTGGTGAATTCTTGTTTTTTGTTGATCAAAATGGATTGTTGGCATGTTGCTGATTGTTGAACAAACGTGTTAAAAATTGTGCGTTTGATATTTTTGGAGTGTTTGCACTCACTAAAGTGATTTTAAAGGACTTTATAGAGTGCAATGGATTTCTAATTCTGCTTCTAATTTGTCTTTCGCAAAGAAACAAACACTATTCCCACTTATATTCAGCACACTCTCATTCAGCTAATATAACATTTACGATCCTTTAATTGGTGACAAGATAAACCTATTGATGGTTCTAGTAACTTTTTTCGAGCTGGGGTATATAATGTATTAGCTTAGGAATCAAGAAACATGACGCAGAAGATAGCCTGATGCTTGTGCCTTCAACCATCAAGAAACAGAATGTTTTTTAATCAAGAAAGCGATTTTTACCCTATTATGTGTGGCCAGCAAATTTAACCTTACAATAATCTTATCTGCATTGCTAATTAACCAAAAAAAAAAAAAAAAATCTAGCACAAGCTAAATTTTCAAAACTATCTTTCATCCATTAGGTGGAGGCGAAAAAGGCCGTCCCAAGGGACGATCACCAAACACCCATCAAAAACAACAGCAGCAGCAGCTCACTTGGCTCACTCAGCCCGAATCGAACCAAAAAGATTTTCGTCGGGGGCCTCCCGTCGACCATCACCGAGCTCGACTTCAAGAAATATTTCAGTAGATTCGGGACCATAATAGACGTGGTCGTGATGTATGACCACAACACGCAGAGGCCGAGAGGCTTCGGGTTCATAACGTACGACTCTGAGGAATCAGTGGACAAGGTCTTGGTAAAAACATTTCATGAGCTTAATGGTAAAATGGTCGAGGTTAAGCGGGCCATCCCGAAAGAACCGTCTCCGGGGCCTGCACGGAGCCCGTCGAGTGGGTTCTTCAACTCTTTTTCTCCGGGCCACAGCAGTTTGAATTCGATGAGAACAGCAGAAGGCCGTTTTAGTCATTTTGGTCGTGTTGGATACCCACCTTATAGTCCTGGTGGAAATCAGAGCATGGGATCAAATAGTGAGGATTCTGGTTTGCGGTATAGATACGGGAGTACGGATTATTCGTATTTCGGTGGGAATTATGGTAAAAATGGTTCTTTCTCGAGTACCCTTAACCGAGATGTGTGGGGGAATGTGAATTTAGGAGAAGGTTGGGGTGGATCTTCTATTTCTGCTAAAGGCAGGGAAAATATTTTATATGGCAGTGTGCAGGATAGCTATGATGGGTTGACTGGTTATACGAGGGACAATGGAGGTTTTTCGGATTCAGCATCATTATTTTCCGGTACGGATAATGTTCGTGACAAGGGCTTTGGGAATTTGTATGGGGGTGATTCTTTTTATTCGGATCATATTTGGCATTCATTGTCTCGGGAGTTTGAAGGGTCAGGCCCTTTTGGTTATGGACATGAGGATCGGGTGGCTAATGTTGTTGTACCGAACAATCCGGTTGGTTATGTTGGGGATTATCGTGTTACTAGCTCTAATAGAGGTAAGTTTTTCATATTATTTTAAAAATCTGTGCATTTATTCCTCTTGTTCTTGGTTAATATATCAACTTATTTATTGATCTATGCTGATTAAGTTGTTTCATTGTCGAAGCAGGAATTGCAGCCTAGGAAAAAGTACGGTATGGATGCATGAAGAATCGTTCATACGGACTGCAAATCCTTAAAAAACGAAAAAAAAAAAAAGAAGCAAAAGAAAAAAGAAGCAGAAAAGGTAAAAGTTTAGGACCTTCCAATGTTCTGAAGATATATGCATTTATTCCTAGATAATATATATTTAGCAGAGGTATTAGGGATTTATCACCAAGAGCAACAGAAAAATGATCGAGTCTTTCGAAATAGGTTTTTGTTTTCTCGCGATTCTTTTGTTTCAGCTGTGAAATCGAGTCACGATGCTGTATTTGATACGTTTGTCACTATATCATTATTCTTGATTGTATTTGGGACATTGAGGTATTTAGTGAGCTTCCTTCCGAGGTTCTTGTTCGTGTCTCGGGTTTGCTTTCTCGGTGAACTGGGAGCTGACACGTGTCGGCAAACTAGGAGCTGACCCGTGTCTTGTACTTGGCTAAGCATTTAGCAATTGCAGTCTGCACATTGGTTTTTACTTCTGAAAAATTGTGGTTTTATGGACTTTGTCAGTTCATGAACTTAAGACATGTTTTGCATGTAGTGTTTTACATTATTGGGATCTATGAAATGTGATTTATATATGCATACTTCATCTGGTTATGGTTATTACTTATTAGAGGTTGTTTCAGTTATTATTTATATATTTTTTTTATTATTTAATTTTTTATTGCCTCCAGAAAGAGGAATAAAACTGTCAATCTGTTTGCAGCTTCTCTAAATATTACCATGTAGCTAAAAACTGATGTCAACAGTCTTCCTAATAGTCAAAGCAAGTCTAAGAAGTCAAACCATTATAATTTTACAATGAAAAATTATATTTAAATAATAGTAGAGTATAGAATATTTTTTGAAAAAATAGTACTTAATATTTGAAAAAAAATGAAAAGAAGATTTTATTGAAAGTGTTAAATAATTTTTAAATAAATATACTGTTATTTATGTGTAAAATGATACTTGTTACTTGACGACGTACACTTTTTATATTATAATATTTTTTTTTCAATTCATATTATGTCATTATAGATAAGTTTATTTAATTGATAATTCTTTTATTTTGTTAAAGTTAATATTGATAAAGAAGTACTTTTTATTATAAAGGCAAACATTGAATATCAAATCAAAACTCGTCAACATGGTTAATTCGATTTATATGAATAATTATGAGATTATTACCATGTAAAATTTATTCATAATTTACTTTTATAATTTTAAAAATCGTAATAGACATCTATAAATGGAGCTGGAAGAGTCATTGTTGACAATTCTCTTGGCATAGTGTTAATAATGGACTAGATCAAAATGACTCAATTAAATTCTAGTGTTTCTTCTATTAGTGAAGTTTCTAGAAAAAAAAATATATCAAACGATGCAATGCACCTTGGGTCGCTACGGAAACAGCCTCCTTGTATAATTACAAGGGTAAGGTCTGTACAACTGACTTACCAGATCTCAACCAGTTGGGAATATACTGGGTATGTTGTTGTTGTTGTAATAGACATCTATACAATTTCAGAAACATGTGAAATATTTCAGAAAATAAAAAAATTATAAAAAATTGACATTGACATATAAGATTAGAAGCACTAAGAAATTAGGAAATAGAAGTACGAAACACCAAAAGTTGAACCATATGCTCAAAAAAACTCTTCATTTATAGCAAGTGATTCCTTACCAAATATATGACATTTCATTTAAATTTTCATTTAGAAGACTTCATTTTCTCGAAAAATTGGAAAGTGATCTTAGCTTTTTCTTTTTTTTTTTTNNTTTTTTTCTTTTTTTTGAAGAAATTATTTTAGATTAGATGCAGGTGAATAAAAAAATACTTGAGAGTAAGACACATACAAAAATTCTATGGAGCTATAGAATTGTTTTTTTTTATGAAGTCATCCATCACTTAATGTATTGATACATGTCCAAAATGTATTTATTGTAGGACATGCGTCAATAATTATTGTGGATAATGGTGGATGACTATAAATCGAGCCATCCGATGGCTCTATAGCAATTATAGCAAAACTGGAAACACATATTTGTTTGTTCTTTGTGTGTGTTTGTGTGAAAGGAAACCTACACACTCCTTTGGAATGAGTACCAGATATATTGAGCCTGATCATATGTCACAGCAAATTCCAGTACATCATTTATACAAAAGTAATGAAAAAATCTAAACAACTCCAAAAACATCTACATTTTCCCCAGTACACAACAAACTACACTTCCTTTCCATATTGGCCAAGAAAACCTCAATCAACAAGCCCCTAAGCTAAACCCTTAACATCATTACTCACCAATTTAAACCAACTTTCCCAATCTATGCTATACTCAAAAGGGGCATTACACAACCAAAAAAGAAAAAACCACAAACATATATATGTAGAGAAGAAAAAAAAAAAAGACCGAAAATTTAAGTCGAACAACACCTTCCCTTTTTACTCTGTTCGTCTCCACCGACTTCTCGTTCTCCTCCTCCTCCTTTCCCACCCTCATCATTGGCCTTCAAAACCACGGTTTTGCCATTAGCCATCCAGTCCGGTTCCTTCTGTTCGAGCTCCCGAGACTGCATAACTTTCCTACTCAAGATATTGTAAATCTCACCCACCACCATTTGAAAAGCTGCAGCCACATTTGACGAGTCAAGTGCCGAGGTCTCGATAAAGAACAAACCCTCTGTCTCGGCTAGGGCCTTGCCATCAACAGTCGGGACCTCGCGCGCGTCCTTTAGGTCAGACTTGTTTCCCACGAGTATCGTCACCACATTCATGTCCGAGTAAGCTGTTTTTCATTTTTTTTTTTTCGTTATAAACAAAAAAGAGAAAACGCTAATCAGGTTAGTTTAGAAAAATGGGTTTTAATATGCTCAAGGTTAAAAGTTTAGGAAATAGGTTTTAAAGAAAAAAAAAAAACCCTCGATTTTCCACTTTTACGTTAGGACTATTTTGTGATATTTCGAAAAAAGTTGAGAGGTGTAATTGTAAGATATTTGGCAATCACATCAAATCCCATTTTACAGTTTGAAAAGTCGGAGAGGTTGTAGGCTATGTTTGGTAAAACTAGGCGATAGTTGATAAGCTAGCTTATAGCTTATAAGTCATTTTCGAGCTTATAGTTTATGGCTATGTTTGGTAAAACTAGCAGATAACCTAGCTTATGGCTTATGAGTGATTTTCGAGCTTATAGCTAAAAAGCTAGCTTATATGATAAAAGTGTTTGCCAAATTAGCTTATAAGCTGAAATAAAAAATTCGACGAGCTAATTTGAAAAGCTACCCGAAGAAGCTTATGATATAATTTCAAGCTTTCTACATGAAGCTTATGATATAATTTCGAGCTTTTAACATGAAGCTTATAAGATAACCAAATAAGCTATAAACTAGCTCATAAAGTTACCGAACATAGACTTAATATTACTATCTCAAAGTTCGCTTGACCATTGTGAAAAAAACATTACGACCGAGGAACTTAGAAAAAACCAGTTCCATCATACGAGACATAAAAGGTAACTAACTATCTTCAAGATAGCAAAAGAATTATCGAAGTGCTTACTTTGGAGCTCATTTAGCCATCTCCCAATGCTCTCGAATGTCTGCCGCCTGCTGATGTCATACACCAAGAGTGCCCCCACAGCACCTCTGTAATACGCTGATGTCACGGCCCGAAACCTCTCTTGTCCAGCCGTGTCCCAAATCTGTGCCTTCACTTCCTTACCGCTTATATTCATCTTTTGAGTTTGAAATTCGACCCCAATAGTTGATTTCGAATTGGGATAAAACTCGTCCCGTGCGAATCTCGAGAGCAAGTTAGATTTACCAACAGCCGAGTCCCCAACCAACACAATCTTGAAAAGGTAATCCTCTGTTTGTTCTTCCTCTGTATAGAAAGCCATTCTTTCTTTCTCTCTTTCTTTCTTTCTTTCTTTTCCCTTTTTTTTTTTCTTTCGAAATATTTTAGTGTCACAAGCATATAATCATATTCGGTTTAGAAGGAAGCTTTAATGGCAGGTAAGGTATGTGGAGAGAATTGATGGTGTTAAGTGGAAGAAAGGAATATATAACTAAATTGGGCACACACAAAAAAGCTATTTCTTTAATGTTTTACTCCTTATGCGGACATTCGTATCTTAAAACAAAAAGCTCGTTGTCTAATATTTGTCTTCCACGACTCCCGCCCCCTCGTTTGAACTGAAACAAATGTAAACAGTGCATGCAAATGTAACTTTAGCTTGGTAATTGCTCGACAAGCAAATACTTTCAGCCGAAAACAAGATAAGCAAAAAAATAAAAGAAAAAACTTGAAACGAAAGGGAAAGGGAACACGATTCTATACTTCACAGAAAAGAAAAAGAAAGAACATGAAAAACAAGAACTTGTGCATATAACAGACAGTGCTGTGGTAACAAGCTTGTAATATACTTACAGAAGGAACAAACAACACATTTAAATGCTTGAAAAGAACTCAAATAACTTCAGCAAGAGAAATATCAATATCATTACGAATCCAGCATCAACAATCGCTCGAAAACTACAATCTTCCGCAACGATTGAGGCACGTAATAGGGTGTGATCTTGAGCTAATCGACTCATTCGAACAGCTCCTTTAGCTTTTTGTCTATTACTTATTATAACACACCTCACATTCTAATATTCTACACAGCACTGAATCAAAAAAAGTAGCCTTGGTTTAGTTGTGATGACCCTCAATTACTTTCATCTATTAACAAAAAAACAATTGAAAAACTGCCTAAAGTTACATACATATCAAGAAATAACCTCACAATTGTTAGAAAAAATGGCCAAAGTTGTGACCTTTTTCTTCACCCCCCACAAACTTTTACAAAAGCAATAAATCTTTGACATTTTCACCATTAAAAAGAAGAAAAAAATAAAAAAAAAATAAAAAAATAGCAGATTCAAGCAATTTCAAACGTACCCATTAAACGAAACCAATCTCCCCTCGGAATATTTTTCAAGCCCGTCAACAGTCGAGACTCTGTGAATCAAAATCGCAAGCAAAGATTTAGTATTTACATAAATAAACATAATAGAGCAGATCAATATAGGAAAAATGGGCACAAGAAAAAAAAAATAAAAATAAAAAAAAAAAGCGAAAAAAGAAAAAATACGAGGTCTTTACATATGGTCGGGCAGGTAAAAATGGGATCAAATCGACGTTAATGGGTTCTGGTAAAGGACAAGGTTTCAAGATTTGACGCTGTGGGGAAGACAAATAGACCCATTTTTGCATTTTATTTGTTTTATTTCTTGGGAAGAAAAGCATAAGCAAATTGGGATGGATCAAGAAAGGCCGGGCCGAACAATGCGTCTACGGGCCCGGGCCAGAAATTGAATAGCATAATTTGATGGACAATGCTACAAGTACATAACAAATATACATAGACGTATACATAACACTCACGTGGAGTGAGGTTCACTTAATTTTTTATTTTTGATGTGTTTCATTCAATTTGAGCGTTATGTACATCTCTATCTCTATGTACAATATTACGTACTTGTAGCATTACTCTAATTTGATATATGATTTTATCAATATTCAATGTTGCCAATCTTTTTAATTACTATGGATGGACAAATGCAAATAAAAAATTTTATATACTATATGTGTGTAATATTTAAATCACAGTTAAATAATGAGGATATCTTTTATAAATTTAATCATTAATAAAAATGAGTGTCATAGATATAAATAATTTAAATAGAAACATGAAATAACAATAAATTAGTATATGTAATTTAGGCGAAGATTATAAACTTATCCGATAATTATTACTCCCTCCTATTTTTTTTAAATGTCATTCTAGTTTTATCAACTATTTGCCAAATAAATGTCGTTTTGGATCTTTTGTACATATTTTTCCATTATTACCCTCATTTAGTCAATAAATACATTACGTCTTTTCATATTCACTCTTCACTTTTTCTCAAAACATTCATCTATATCTTCATTATTAAATAAGGTTATTACTTATTATTGATAAAAAAATTATTCTTAATTAACGTGCAACTTCTCAAAACGACATATATAAAAAATAGGAGGTAGTAGTACTTATGCAGTGATTACAGTGATGATTTACATTTATAAATAATTGGGATATAGTTTCACAGTTTTCTATGGAGTCATCTCGGATTGTTCGACTTACGGAGTCATCCACCATTATTTACTAATAATGTATTCACATATGACCTACAATAAATAAATTTTGACAGGTGTCAATATATTAAGCGGTTGATGGTTGATGAACCATAAAAAAAAAAAAAAAATCATCTCCATAGTTTTTTGTATAGGATGACTGGCGTGTATAGATTATGGATAATAATCCATCGTTAATGGATAAGATAATGAAATAAAATTAGGGTGAATGAGATTCTAAAATGGTCCTCGAATTTTGGAAATCGTAAGTGAAGTAAAATATACAACATTAAAAATTAACTAGTACTATAACAATGTACTACACGAGTACTTGAATATACATTAATGATCATCTATTCATGGTGGGTACATGTTAATATGTCGTATGCACACAATGGTGGTGTTAATATGTTAAAAAAATACATCATCAATGTGTGTATGCCACATAAGCGGTGAACATATTAACATGATCCACCGTAGATAATTGAGCATTACTCCTTGAATATATTAATATTTAAACAATAAAAAATTAAAATATTTATATTTTTATTATAAAATTATGTACAATGAATATACAATAACTAACAAAGAGATAATTAATTCAATATGACGTCCACATTTTGTATTTATGCAATATGGACGTCAAATTAATAATCGTTAAAATATGATTACTTTAATATATCATAAATAATAACTAAAAAAATAAATAAATAAAGTTATACAGATTTATATATAAAAAATAATGCTAATTCAGTGTAACTAAATATGATTTAAATAAGAAAATGTAGGAATGGTATATAGTAACTTAACAGAAGAAAAAAAAAAACTAATGGAGTTTATGTTAATTCCTAAGTTTAATAGTCGAAATCAAACATGTACATTTGTCAATATGAAGCACAAATTTATGACAAAATAAGCTTACGAAGCATACAAGGTTGTCCAGCACATTTGGTAATTATATATAGGAGCGATAACAAATGAATTTTTAACTCATCATGTGTGTCATTTTATTGGTAAACTACTGTATGTGAAAAAAATAAGATTGATGGTGTTGCATTTTTAACAAAATAAACGTTTATAGATAAACAATTACTCCATTTTTTTTTTTAATTTTTTTATATGCTTAATAGCCGGTGTCACACTTGCAAAATTACTTAAAAAAAAGTTAGTCGATCTAACGGTTAAAAAGTCGATATATACAATGCAATATACGTCAATAAGAGATTATATACTTTAATTACACTGGAAATCTTTAATTAACTGAAGATTTCACAATTGAATTTGGTGAAAACTATGCACTTTTAACAAATAATAAAAAAGAAAAATAATGCATTTTTACTGAAAATTAATTTTATAAATCAGATATTTAATTTATACTAAACTCGGTGCGCAAAATCATAAATCAGCTTTTTCACTATTTGGATACAAAAAAATGTCTCCGAGATTACCTATATATCTAACTAAATTAAATTACAGACACACGAGATATATCATTATCCATTTATCCCAGTATTTTTTGGTAGCCAACCACGGTATATGGAGCTTTGCCCCGATTAATCCGTTGATCGACCAAACTCGCACATCCCAGTATTAACATTATATTTTTTCTGCCAAACACCAAATTATCCTGTCCCTATCCAATCCTAAACAGTCAACACCATTTATTATTAATATATTATATATACACACACTTTATCCATTTTTTTTTTAG